TTGCACCGGCAGGCTGGCAGATTGGTGGCACCGCGCGCATACCCACGGCTCAACAATAAGTATATAACTCAAATTTAAGGGTTAAAATAAACCAAAAAAACATTTATATTTAATGATTGTAAACTTATTAAGGGATTGTACGAGTCCCACACACGAGTGGAAATGCTTTATTACAAAAAAGTGTTGTAATCGAAGAAGTGTTTATAAAAAATAAATCACAATAAGTTTACTTTTGCAATGTGTGTGTATTAAACTTCTAATATTTTTTATTAATTATTCACAATTTTCTACATTTTTGTTTTAAAAGATACTCCATGGTATGATTTGTAAAAAGTTATATATTTTTTGGAGAAATATTTATAATATCTACATATTAACTTACAAATTCAAGGTGTTTACATGTCCTTTAAAACTAACTTTTGTAAGAGTCAACTCACAAAAATCCAGATAACTTGTTACTCTTCTCATGTGATTAGAGGTCTGGTTTATATAACTTTTAAAAACTTAACAAAAATGAATGCATTTATTAAATACAACAAATTTTTAGGGTAAAGCGACTTAGCTGTCACTCCATTAATTAAACCAATACTGTAGATTCCCAGTAAAATAATTTTTTATGTTTTATAAAGTTCTGACAGAACATGCAATTAAAATTAAACTATAGTACATTGGCCACCTTTTCTTCCAAGATGTCCATCCAAAAACTTTCATGCAAAATCAATAACAAAATTCAAATTATCATTCTACAAGTTACAAGGCAATTTGTAGAAGTTACTGCCAAAATAAAGACTGTTGGGCCGCGGGTATGCGGTGTCAGCAATCTGCCAGCCTGCCGGTGCAATCGAACCATGTGACACTTCGCATGTGTTATAAATAGGGAGGGGCGTGCTACACTATCAGCGATTGCTTTTAGTGTAGCGGTAAGCGCAACGATCCACAAGTAGTATCAGAGCCAAGATCACGGGTTCGACCCCCGGCAACAGCATGATGCGCAGTTGAGGCTGACAGGTGCTGGGGGGGGGGGGGAGATTGTTGGGCCGCGCGGGTATGCGGTGCCAGCAATCTGCCAGCCTGCCGGTGCAATCGAACTGCGTGGCGCTTCGCATGTGCTATAAATGGTGAGGGGCGTGCTACACAATCGTTGCGCTTACGCTATTGGCTGGGCTGGAAGGCAGGCTCCCAGTTGGGCTGATAGGCAGTTATCTTGGGCTTCCGCTCAGTTGGACTTCCGCTCCTTGATAGGCTTGATAAATTGCCCCGACTTGAGATCCGGATTGCTGGGTCCACTGGTTGGGCCTGCCTGACCGGACAATTGTCCTGACTTGGACCTGCTGGTCCAAGTTCGGGGCCTGGACCGATTAGACATTGGGCCTAGTCTCATAACCCCGTCAGCTTGTAAACATGAAGAATTTGAAGACATACTATTCAGGGGGGTAGTTTTTTTTTTTTTTTTTTTTTTTTTTTTTTTTTTGAACACTAATGAGTATGTATAAAAGTAATAAAGTGAAGCTCCATTTAAGTAAGTTTCATTTTCAGAAATGACTAGAGGAACTCTCTAATACTTAGTATATTTTTTTTTCCAGTACTTTGGAATTAGTACTTGTTACAGAACAATTTATATAACATTGACCTTTCTTAATTATAATAATAATGTGCATTGGCATACGTAGTATAACAATGTTCATTCAAAATGGCCCGTAAAGAACAATAAGAATTTGTACTCTGATGGTACCATGGACTTTGACCATGACCCAATTACATAATCCAGCCCATAACGGGATCAGCCCTCTACGAGATTAGCCTAATTAACAGGATCAACCCATCAACGGGATCAAGGATAAATAACCGCTGAGCCTAATTAGGAATTAGGCCCATGACAGGAACCCACAGCCAGGCCGGACTGGACAACAGACCTCGAGCCTGGGCGGAGTTCTAGTGAGGCCGGGATATTCCTAAGGTTAACGTGGCAGGCAGAACTCAACAGAAGTTCGTATACACGAAGGAGACAATTAATGCTTGACGACCAAGGCATGAGAGGAGTTCTATTTCGAGCAAGAATATAGTTCATTAATTAGCATTTATTGTATTAGATTATTCCCATAATTCTACCTCTCAATCTCTATAAATACCCTATGTAAACACCCTACAAAGGGATCGATTTATGACCGGTAATTCGTTTTCCGGAATAAGAGTAATACTGCCTTACGTTGCCATATTATTTAGATATTATTTCTATACTCTACGTATATTTAGCTCTCGTAGTTGGATTAAACTCCATCATACTGCTTTTGTAATTGATAAGGAAAAGTATTTTGACACGCTTTAAAAACAACAAAGTATGTTCATAATTTTTTAATTTTCAATGAATTGATGTGCAGTGAAGTTGCAAAGTAGAAGAAGTCTTACTTACGAAAGATTTATGTATGTTATTTTTGCATGTGTGGTGAAAATTAATAGCATGAGTAATCTAAACAAATGCACATGTAAAAGAACGATGATAATTTTAGGATTGTAAACGAATGCATGTGTTTCTTCTTAAAGGCTTAAGTGCGTTTGAAATTCAAGAGGTCATTGTATGTGTACAACTAAATCCTACATTCTAAATGTGGTTAAATCATTTTGTAGAACAGTTAATAGGCATTCATGAAATGCTTGACTGTAGAAAGGTATTGTTTACGAAAGGTGTAAATAGGGTGAACTGGCTGAGGGGGTTATGGGGCTAGGCCCATAGCTTAATCGACCCAAGGCCCGAACTTGGACCCATGAGTCCAAGCCCACAACTTGAGCTAGCAGGCCCAAGCCCAAACCTAAGCCTAAGCCTGGGGCCTGCCTACCAGCCCAGCCTTTACCAATTAAAATGGAGTATATATAGGGTACTCTTTTGTTCTTGAACCAATCACAATTTCAACATTTATAAGAACATTAATTGTGCTTAGGTAATATGCTCGAACGATTGTATTCATCTTTTTTTTCTACTTCTTTTTTTCAGATTGCAATTCGGTACCATGCGTCATGTGCGTGCTTGGGGTGTTTGCTTGCACATTTTTTTGATTATCGAAGTTATATGGTGGGTATTGATACAACATTTTTTGTTTATCTTTTGTTATTTTCATTTTCTTTCTGATATGATATTTTTAGGAGATAGCTCTCTAAATGTGAGTAAAACGTAGAGTACGTGCAAAAAAGGTGGTTTTTAAAATCCCCAAATATATGTATTTTCAAAGTGAGAGTCACCACTATTCGATCTACTGCTACTGTCTGACCTGCTACTCTGCCGTCACCACACTGCACCGCCAATCTGCCATCAATAGGCTTACCCGATTATGCAAGTGACTTAGGGGTGAAATTAATTATATTAATTAATTATATATTAGGGGTATTAAGTGAAGAAAATTAACATTTAGTCCTATTTAGGGAAAACAAGTATTCCCTATGTTTTACTCCTATTAAATCCAATTACTTATTTTATAGTGATAACTTTAGAATAACATTTAGAGCTCGTTTGGTAATATCTAAATCGGCTATATTGGCAGATTGTGCTGAAATTTATGAAGTGTTGACTAAAGTGGCTGGATTGACTGATTTTGACGATTTATGAAAAAAATCACATTCAAAATATATTGTATTGATTAAATAAAAAAATTATATGAATTTATATCTAAATTGACCCCTTACACTAATTTCAGGCAATACAGTCAGAAAAGTAAGTCTTACCTTATTTTTTCTTATTTTCTACACAATTTAGCGCGCGTAATCAAACATTACGTGATGAAAAAATTAACCGATAAACCAAAATACATGATTAACTAAAATGGTTGTCTAACAAGTTCGCTGATCCGATGGATGCCTAGCTCAATGCTAAATTTAAGTTTTGTTCATTTGAGTTTCATCAATTTTGAAAATAATAGAAACACTTTCAAGTAGTAGAATTATCAATCATGCTTCGTGTACACATTTATTGTACACGCCATTCATTTTACACGTCGACTGACACGTACACATACATTTTTATTTTTGTTTTGTGAAGACAATCGTTTTCACAACGACAATTTTCTTGTCGGTCGAAATGTCCGTGTCACAGATAAAACAAATTATCGATGCGAAAAACGATTCTCATCCCAAAACTAAGGATGTTTTCTTTTGGACTGCTTTTAGTCTCAGACCAGACCAGATCAGACCAGACTTTCGTAGATATAAAATACACAGAGACCCAACACTTACCAGATCAGATCAGACCAGCAAATTGCAATCCAAAAGAAAACATCCTAAAACAGGAAATTCGAACGGCGTGTACCCTTGTCGTGTACAAATAAGATTTCTCTATCATTATACTCCCTTCATCTCATAAAATTCTTCACACTTTGACTTGACACAGAGATTAAAAAAGTAAAATAAAGTGGAAATGTATGGTTCTGTAAGAAAAAGGTGAAATGAATGTGAACCACACAAATTGTCCAAAAAATGGTAAGTGGGAAGAATTTTTTGAGACGACCCAAAAAGGAAAGTGGAAAGAATTTTATGGGACGGAGTACAAAAAAAAGACATTTGTACCCATTGTTATACCTACCTTTATACCCACATGTTTGTGCAAGGCTTTTTTTGTCTCTTAATCCCGTTCACAGATAAAATACCCCTCCGTCCCAAAATAAATGCCCTGCTTTCCTTTTCGGTCCATCCCAAAATAAATGTCTCACTTCTTTAACTTTCTTATTTGGTAAACAAATCTATACCAAACAATGTCAAACAGTGCAAAACAGTGTCGCTACAGTGCGAAACAGTGTCACTACAGTGCCAAACAGTGTCGCTACGGTGCCAAACAATGTGCAATCAAATTCATTTTCTTAATCTGTGTGGAAATCAAAACAAGACATTTATTTCAGAACAGGGGAGTATGTCTTATTTTTTCTGTGAACCAAATTTACATACAAAAGGAAACGATAGGTATAAAATAGGTAAGGGTAAATACAACAAAAATTATAAGCCGTGCGATGGTACTACACTATAGAAATAAAAAGTGAACTGAATACTTCGTACGTAGTAAAATATTCTCCGAGTGGCCAGTAACAAAGGCGGTGCCGTTTTATTCTTTGCAGTTGAAACCCCTGCTCCACCATCTTCATCAGAGTCAGGAACGAAAAGAACAATTTCACCTGGACGTCATCTCCTGATCCGGTGAAAAACCCACCTGGAAGAAACGAGTTTTCGGATTCAAACCCCTTAATCAGTATCCCAAATTGCCCACTCATGGAGGAAGGATTTAAGCTGCAGCAGAGGCACGGGAAGGCAAGGGTTAGAGTTGCCCGGGTCTGGAGGGAAGGAGACGGTACCCACCACTTTTCCGAATGGAACGTCAGCATAAGTCTCCTCTCCGATTGCCTGCCTGCCTACATCTCCGGCGACAACTCCGACATTGTTGCCACCGACACCATGAAGAACACCGTATGCCTTTCTCCACACCTCCTCAGCTATGATTTACCGAGTTAGGCAGTGTACTTAGTCCTATTAGTTTTCTCTGCTTGAACCATTGAGATCCTAAATGTTTATCAACACTATTTTGTGGTGAATCTTGTGCTCTCTATGAAATCTTGATCTCCCGTGTATGATGTGGTCTATTTTAAATTAAATCAGTTTTAAGGGAGCTTTTTGAAGTTTCTAGCTTTATCTAACCTGATCTGACGATGATGACCACCCCCATACCCTTTGAATGCAGCAGCTCTGTAGCTGTAATAATTTGGAATCACCATAAGTTGCATGCCTGTGTAATAATTTTGAATCACCATATGAAGGGTGTAAACATTTATGAAAAGGCATCTTAACCAGTTACTTGATATTTTCCTTCAAGTAAACTGCATTCACTTTCACTGTAAATACTCACATAAAGAATAACGATGACAATTGATATCATAAATACTCACTTTCACTGCATTCATTTTCTTTAGTGAGTTGGGTACTAAAGAAGTTCCCACTTTCCTTTTATGGATGTCCCAAAAAGAAGTTCTCATTTCCATAAAAAAAGTCACAACTACGCTTACTTTTTACTCACTTTTTGCTTGATTTGACATAAAATAATGGTAAACTGGGAAAGCCAAAATAAAACTCTACCTCACATAAATATGTGTAGGTCAAACCGGGAACTTCATTGTATCATTGCTCTGTTTTGAAATCATTCAATTTGTATCATTTGGGCAATAAAATAGGTATATGCTAAAGCCAAGGAATGTTCCAATAGACTCCCAGTTGAGGCCTTTGCTATTGAACTGGGGAAACACTTCACGTCATATTATAAGCAGGTAAGTTTACAGAATGTCTGCATATTATTGATTACCGAATCTCAATGCTTAAATTTGCTCTGTTTTGTCATACATGAAATTGAGTAGTTCATCTTACTTTATTGGCTTTGAAATAACTTGCTAATCAGCTCTTATTCTTACAATAGTGTATTATATGTGGCCTAATTGCTGAGGGGTGGACTGAAAAGTTCACCTCATCATGACAATGCAAAATATTTTCTCCCTCTATATGAGATAGGCAATGCAAATTTTAACTAAATATAGGCCTGAATCGAGTATTAAAAAAAATTCTACATACAAGAATTTTTAAGCTATAGCTTATTTTGAAATAAATGAATAAATATCGCCGAAGTAACTGAGTTACAAAATAATAAAATATGCATACGTTAATTTTGTAATAAATAGTTTTTTTTAAACTGAATTATTTTGTAATATGATTTGTTTCGATCTAAGGAAATAATTATCACAAAAGTAACTAACTAGATAATATCCTTATACGGAGTATTATATACTCCGTATAAAATAGAAAGACCAACTTTTTTAAACTAACGATAGTAATATATACTCTCTATAATTTTCTAATTGCAAAAGAATTAACCTGAAGTCCGAAAACGAATAGATGAGAAGATAATGAAATAAAATTATCTAAATACGTATAAATTTACATTATATATGTTTGTGCATATATAAGTTTTTAAAATTTTGGGCCCCTATTTTTATATATCTTTCAGGGCCTGAGGCTTATGCCTCACTGACCTCCAAATATGCATGGTCCTGGAGAGAGGTATACTGTAATTATTACTCTGTACAATATAGAGTGTCATTGTTGGCCTAATTGCTGATGGTGGACTGAAAAGTTCAGCTCATCAGCTGTCAAAAATGCAAAGTTACTTCTTCTCTATGAGATATGCTACTGTAAGAAAAAGTCTATGCACAAAAAGATGCTTGAACTTAACAAAGGGAAACTTCTGATCCTTCAGAAAGCATTTCTTTCTTACGCTTAATTAGAAGTGAGCGCTGGTCCAATACTTAACCGGAACCAGAACCACCAAAGTAATTGGACCGAAGACCGGACCAGAATAATTCCAGCCCAAGACCGGACCGGAATCTTCCTATTATGACCGGATTGGACTGGTATGGTCCGGAATTTTAGTTTCATTTATTTTTAGATGTTTCATGTTTTAACAGTAGTTTTAATTTATTTAAAAAATACCTTATTAGCTTGAAATTTCAATTATATATTATTATGTTGTTTTATGTATGATCTTTTCTCATTTAATCTTTTATATTAGAACAAAAAAATCTCCTAATATGATTATCTTAATACAAGAAATTAAAATTAGTTTTTCAATAAGTTCCACGAATATTTTAACTCATTAGCTTTACAAATTTAACAAAAAATAGCTCAATTAATCATGTATGCATTATCATCAAAACATGATAAACTAAGTGAATGAAATATTGTTAATTAATCTAAATGTGTAAGTAAGTGCAAATTGAATTAATGCCTAAAGCATTTTATCACTTAAAATATGTATGTGTGTGCCTCATGCATGCATGCACGCACGAGCGTGCGCATGTATAACTCTAATGCATATATAAATACGTTCACATACATAATAGGAGTATATAAATTCCGGTCTAACCGGTCCCGATCAGAATATTCCAAGTTTTGGACCAGACCGGAACGCAAAAACTCTTTGGACCAATGACCGGACTGGTATGTAATCGGTCCGGGTCCGATCTGGACTGAACGGTCCGGTTTCTGGTCCGGACCGGATTATGCTCAGCCCCAGGTTAATATCCTATCAGGCTATCAAGCAGATAAGAGCCAGACTCCATTTCCGATTCCTCAAACTGTTACCTCGACACCTTTGATCTATAATGTTTTTTTTTCCTATTATTTATTCTTGTTATTGCCCATAGGTCACTGCTGCCGTCATCAGGATAGTAGAAAAGCCATGGGAACGAGTCAACATTAATGGTCAGCCTCATAGACATGGTAAGATGTTCGTATATCTCAAGGCCATGTCACATGAGTAAAATGGTGAGAATGTACACTTCTGTTTATTGTTATCTTATAATTTACCATTTTCTTTCAATCCGTCATTCTTTCTGCGTACTTCCGAAATGTTTCATCCCCTCATGTAAAGAAAGATATCAAGAAGTCATATTATACTCACATCCCATGGATAGGAGATTAGGAGTACGATTCAATGTTTTTCTAATGCAGTAAGGTTACATATTATGAGATGATGTTCATACAGTATTGAAACTTAATTTTTTTTGCTCATCTCATTGGCAGGATTTTGCATTTGATTACTTGCTGCAATTTACATTCAGAAATCAGAATTTGTTCCATTGAGCTAAATGAAATATAATCAATTTCCATCCTAGCTAAAATCCACAAAGGTTAAAAAACTATACATGATATCTGAGTTCTGATTGAGCTTGAGTTTTATTGAAAGGAATTATTTCTCTCTGATTGCTTTAGTACTAATGTTTGTATGTGACGTGTGCATGTCACACTAGGGATGGTGAGCACTTGGTTGGTTGGTTACATAACCGACAGGAAAAAAACTAATTTCAAATCTTTAGCACTCATAACCAACTGAAACGTACCGAAGTAATCATTATGAATGGCCATATAACCTAATTTGGGAAAAGTAGGAGTACTTCATTTTCAATAATCTGTAAAAATCAATGCATATAACATTAAAAGTAATGAAAGGCAGAAAATGTACATAAGTTTAATGCCTAGTGATTTGGTGAAGAGAGCTTTTTCATGGCATTGTGGAAAAGTGGACTGGTGCGCTGATATAAGGAGTGGAGCCACATGGAATCAAAGAAGCCTGATGCACAGATGATTGCTGATCTGATTAAGAATTTTAAATAGTTGAAGAATAGATTCTAAACTCTTAGTATTGAATGTGCGTGTCGGCTTTTGATGTTTTGATATTGTAGATGCTGATCATGTATGGGCGCAATGGTTTTTTGAAGAAACTGGGCTAACCACATAAAACATAAAAAATATATAAGTAGCATAAATTTTATGGTTACTAAGCAATCAGTTTTCTGGTTTCTAATGAAGTGCGTTAATACATAACCGAACAGCTGACCACCATCTTTCAGAAAATTACAATCAATGACCAACCAAAAATCGAAATTTTCTTTCTGTTTGGTCTTCGGATTTATTGTTTTACCAGGTTATTGCTTTGTCACCCAATGCTGTCAATTTTGTAATTTATTTGTTCCACTGACCTTGGATATTTTAAAGAGTGTCCTGCAATTGTTTAATACCTAACTGGTAAAAAGGCGCCACTAAATTTGGGGACCTTTTATTATCATTTTCATTGCTGTAATTTGAAACCTGGAAAGATTCATCTTTTCTTCCTCTATCTAGTACCAAATATAGCAACCTCTTCTACAACTGACATGCTACTTGTAGTGTTTGGCTTATCGGCACAGTATAAAATGTGTTGCAATTGTGGGTTGTGACTTTGTGTAGTAGAACTGGAATATTCTGTGTGTGTTTTTCTCTTTTAATATTCCTTTCTGTTTTAATGAAGGTTTTAAGCTTGGATCCGAAAAGCACACAACTGAAGTGCTCCTAGATAAGTCAGGTGGATTGCAGGTTACCTCTGGTATTGAGGGGTTAGCTGTGCTGAAGACCACACAGGTAATGCCACACCCTCTCTTTCTCACTGTTGTGTCTAAAGTCTGAGCGCTAAACATACTGAAGTGCGTTTTATTTCCCTTTATTGATTAAATTTACAGTCGGGTTTTGAAGGATTCATAAGGGACAAGTATACTATCTTGCCTGAAACAAAGGAGAGGATGCTGGCAACAGATATTACAGCACTATGGCGGTAAGTTGTTGATTAGGTCGTTTACTTGTTTTTTTTCATTTTTATTAGTCATACAATATTAATCTTGTAATGGGTCATGACTACAAGTTACAATTAACTAACTAACTCATGTGTCTCATACTCTCATACTTTCCATGCAAGTGAGGCAAAAACTTATGAATATGAAGGTTATAAATTTCATCTCTATTGTTCCTTTACACAAAAGTTGCGAATGGGAAAGCATCAGGGTTCAAACTATGCCACTACATTTTGTATGAATTTATAGTTGACTAATTTATTGATACTAGTTAATTTATTGACACTATAAACAAATAATGAATTGAGACTATACATTTCATGCCATATACCCCAATCTAGTTATGATTAAGGTGCCAATGTCATTGTTTGTGTAAAACAATATCTGAGCTTGTTCATCTCTTTTGTGTTTGTTGATACCGATTATCTATTTTGTTGCTACACATTCAATGTTTGTTATGTCCAAGCATGTTGATTAATGATAGGTACTCCTTCAAATCCCTTTCTGGGGTTCCTTCGAAGAACAATTACTTCACAGAAATGCGTACAGATGTGAAACAGGTTTTGCTGCATACTTTCTTTGGCTCTCCTAAAGAAGGCATATACAGTCCATCCGTTCAAAGCACACTATATGACATGGCAAAGGCTGTTCTTGGCAGGTTCTTTCTATAACTTCATCCATTAATTAGTTTCAACTGCTACAAAGAGTTTCAGTTTTCATGGATAATCTTTACTTCAAACTATCATGATATCAGCTTCAAAGACATAGTATCAATCCAGTTAAAGATGCCAAATCTTCACTTTTTGCCTGTCAACTTGTCAAGCAAAGATAATTCAGCTATTGTCAAGGTATGAATATTTTTCACTTAGGTTCAATTAATATTTATGTGGAGGATTGATTCCTTTTCATCTTTTCATTTCTCTATTCTTTTACTCCATCTTTTTTTTAATCTTCTTTATCTTTCTCATGTTCTTTATCCTTCTATCCTTTTCATCTTATATACTTCCTCCGTTCTTTTTTAGTTGCAACATTCACTTTTTCACGTTTGCCAATGCACAATTTTGACTGTCATTATATTTAATTTTGTATTAGTAAAAAATAATTAAAAATCAGATTATGAAACTTTATAATGAGATGAGTTCAATGATCTTTTTTTAAAAAAATCACATACATTAATAAATAAAATGCAGTCAAAGTAGAGTACATGAATAGTGTGTAATTTGCAATGTTGCAACTAATGCGATACGGAGGATAATATATTTTTATCCTTTTTATCTTATATTTTTTTAATCCCTTTAATCTTAGTATTTCTATCTTTATCTTATCTTTTTTTTCAATCTTACCTTATCCTTTTATCTTTCTTATCTTTTTAATATTCTTTATCTTTTTGGCTCCATAATAAGGTCTGGGATCGGTTCGGTTCTTGTTAAAATTCGATGGAACCGTATAAAAATCGTAGGCGTTAAATTCAGTTCGGTTCTAGTTAAAAATGTAGTTAAATTTTGTTCGGTTCTAGTTAAATTCGGTTCGGTTCTTTTTTCGGTTCCTAACAAAAATTTACTATCCTCCTGAAATGAACACACTTGAGTTACATAAAAAAATTCAAATTTTAAATCACGAAATTATGACGATTACATTATAAATGCATGATATCTCAATGTTCAAATATCCAAAGACATATCCAAGTACAACATTAAATTTAAACATAACAAAAATCTCGATTTAAAATAGACATCAACTGTCAAGCAAAAAGGTTCAATAGCCCCAGAGTACACATCCAATAGCAGGTAGTTCAACCCCAAAATAATATTCTTCTTCTAGTAATGCAGAATAAGTAAAAACTACGTAGTAATAAACAACGTAATCAACAAAATGTTAATTCTTTTTTTATAGTGAACTCCAATAACAAATTACAAACAAAAAATAAATATAAAAATGGACTAAAGTATTAAAATGATAACTACTCGGATTGGCGTGGTCCACAATATATAAGGTATATTTTGCAAGAATAATATTCTTGACAAGAACTTTTTGCCTTGAACGCCGTCTGACCGCCTTCATTTGAGGTACTTCAGTGAAGATTTTTTTTGATAAAGTTTTGTGAGCATGTTCTACATGAAATGTAGATTACATATACCAAATTTCAGTTTAAAATTCAATTAGGAAGTGAGTTAAATAAAATATTGAAAAAATTGCATTTTTTATATATATTTTGGCGTAATGTTTTTCAATAATTTATTTAACTAACTTCCCGATTGTATTTTAAGCTCAAATTTGGTGGATATAATCTTTATTTAATAGAAAACAACCTGACAAAATTTCATCGAAAAATTCCACCCGGAAACAACTCAAATGAAGATTACTCATGCAGTGTATGAGAAGTTCGGTTCCTGGCCCGGAACCGAACCGATGAAAGACTATAGGAACCGAACTGAAAAAAAGTGAAGTCCAAAATTATAGGAACCGAACCGGAAATTTCGGTTCGGTTCGGATCGGTTTTCCCGGTTTTCGGTTCTAAGTCCCAGCCCTACTCCATATTCATATCTCGATTCATTTGAAATGGAGTCAAAGACTCACTATTTTTTTGGTTTGGGAATATGATGGAATAAAGCAAAATGTCTCACTAAATTGTATGCGCTTCTTTGTTATGAAGCAACAACCAGTCCATGTAATTTTTGATGTGATTTCCACTATGGGTCATCCAGAAACAATCTCTTTGTGCTTTAGCACAGGGGTAAGATTGCGTACATCCGACCCCCTTACCCCACTGTAGGTGGGAGCCTTTGTGGTAGTGGGGTAATGATAATGATGATTCATATCTTGATTCACGTTAGTTGACCCAAATTCTTTGGGCCTACGCTTGGATGTTGCTATAACTAGAGCACAATTTGATGAACTGATGACGATTAGAATGCTCTATAGGCAAATCCAATTAGTCCAATGTCAAACTATGGTTAGTAGTGTGTTTAAATCCAATTCCTTCGAGTTTTCATAGCCATGCAATATATTTTCCAAGATTAATAATTCTGCTTTTAGATATGAAACGTCATGTTTTTTACATTACAGTTTGATGATGATGTGTATTTGCCAACGGATGAACCACATGGCTCAATCGAGGCAACTCTGAGCCGCATTAACTCAAAGATTTAAGCTCTGGTTGGTTATCACCAAAGGCCACTTGCTCACGAGAGTTTGCTACTTCGTACTTCAGAATATATTTGGTGTATTACACGCAAACCACACAATTGAATTAATTGGTCACAAGCTACATGACTCATACAGTTGTGAAATATGATGAATAAATCTGATTTAATCTGTGTTTGCAACCGATTGTGCTTGCTCTTCTGAATCAATCATCATCATCACCTGATTTTTCTCAATTTTTTGGGATCTATAATTCGTTGAAATGCTATCTAAAAATTTTGGAATCCATAAATTTGTGCAGAAGCAGCAACGGATGTTTTTATGTACGATACCGTTTTCTGAGATTTGTTTTAGCTTTAAGACATGAGTCACATGATAGAGTGACCCGCATATTAAAGAATTTTTTTTGTGGCTGAAATTTGTAAAGCATAAGTGAGTTTCAATTGCACAGAATTTCCCAATAGTCCAATACAGCGTGACAAATTTTGTGGGACGGCGAGACATTTGTGGGAAAGACAGTAATAAAGGATACACAGATGGTTCAAGTATTATTTAATTTAAAAATAATACTCCGTATATAAGAGGAAGAATTTTGCACTTGCAATCTGTCTTGAAAGCCAGTCAAGCTACTCTCTTTGTCATGAAGTAAATGTCATGTATGGGTTTGATATGTTTATTTTATAATAAAGGGGTTGAAAATTTAAAATGTGCCTAATTTGAGTTTATTTATATGGGTTTGATATGTTTATTTTATAGCAAAGGGGTTGAAAAGTATGCCTCTGACTGACAAGCACTATTAGAACTAAAGTATGTTTTTAACTCTTGCATGTTCAATGACATCATATACTGATTGATAGAGTCAACTACATCTAGAGTTGGAGCTAATATAGCCCGCTTCTCTAAGTATGCTGGATCATCATCAATATCAGGATAGCTGGGGCATGTACTGCGAACTATGGATGCTATCGGGTCACTTTCATATCTAAACAAAATATCATCCGTAATTTCAATTGTTGCAAACCCATTCGATGAATCTCACCATCGCCAATACTTGCAATCTATTCAGCGAATTTTCTAACCTCTTCAAAATTACCTCTGGTATCGTCACTTTGCAGCCTCATATTTTTTGTTAGCCGAAAAACCATACAAAACCTCCACAAATAAGAAGCATTAATAGTAGCACGAACGATATCATTTTGAGAACATTTGGAAATCACAGGTAATATTTGACGAAAATCACCTCCAAAAACAATGGTTTTTCCTCCAAAAGGCGAACTCAAACTCATACGATTGGTGAATTGCAATATATCACGCATAGTCCTATCAAGTGCTTTAAATATAGTAAGTCGGGTTAGAATTATACTACTATTTTTTCTAGTATTTATTCATTAATAATTCAGTGAAGATTTCTATTATTGTTTATTTTTGATGTCATAACTGGAGTAATTCTCACACACACTAAGAACAATAGATCTGGTGTGTGAATATGATATTTTATTCTAAATTGTTTTGATCTGTGTGTTCTGGCCTGCATTTTACAAAACCATTTTAAACATGGAATTTTCTAAAACAATTAATACGTATGCACTTAAACATCAACATTTTGAATAGGATTTAAATTTAAGTACATACCCCAATGTTCTTAAAAGGGAATCTATGCTACTTGTACCTTTTCTACGGATTTCTGAATGGTGTTACCATCTACCTACTTTCTCAACAAAAGCTTAATTTTATATGTCTAAAATTGAAAATTGGAAACAAATATACATGAGGGTATGAAACGAGTTATTAAAACATACCTTGAATGTTATCGTTGCTCCTCTTTTTCTGAATAACCTTGTTCCCTGGTAGAATGATAGAACTATGTGTAAGTTTTTTCATTGGTAACAAAACCACGCTTCTCACGCTTCTCTCTCATAACTTTGATGCATGCACTCTTTAATTTGGCCAAATCATTATCGCTTAGGTACACGGTAGTTTCTATATCGCTAATATTTCTGACTTTCCTCAAACATATCTGGCCCACTACTTCACAGAAAACTGCCCCAGTACTTCACTTTAATAACCGCTTGTAATTAATACGTGCATAGATGATATACTCCCTCCGTAACTTAAAAATCTTCCCACTTTCCTTTTTCGTCCGTAACTAAAAAATCTTCTCATTTCTAAATCTTCCCATCATACCCTCAATAATTTTGAAAATAATATACTATTGCAACTACCTTTTTTGGATTTATCCTTACTTCCATCACACTATTCCACTATCTTCCCATCATACCCTCAATAATTCATATCCTCTTTCACTATTCTTAATCTACCTACTTTTCAAATGTGAAGATTTTAAAGTTAAGGAGGAAGTATATCTTAAAAAATTTAATTTTTATTTTGCAGGTCCACGTCATTCATTCTTTTCCATTACCCCCTCCGTCCCCGAAAGAAGTTCCACAGGGGGTTAAATTTAATGTTTCCCCATTTGACTTTCACACACTTTTATGCAAGTAAACTTACCAGGGGGTAAATTTTACTGTTTTGACACTGTTTCGACACTGTTTGACACTGTTTTGCACTGTTTGGCATTGTTTTGATGTAGATAACTTTCCATTTAAGGAAATGAGAACTTAAATTAGGGACATCCAAATAAAGAAAGTGAGAACTTCTTTCGGAGACGGAGGGAGTATAATTTTAGACAAAGTGTAATTTTAAAGGGTTATAGGGGCCTGCATATGGCGCCCTTTGTTGTAATATTTAGTTTTATAGAATAGGAAGTGCAGGTTCCAGGTAGCATCTACTACACCAAGGTATGATTACATGCACTTTTAATCTTTAAATTAGGTTTTCTTGGTTTAATTGTCCTTCGTTATTTTTTAAAGTTTGAATTACATACTTTTCCCATCACAGTACCACATGAATTTTACTGAAATATTATATTATTTTTACTAAGTTTATATTTTATACGAAGTATTTTACAATGACATACGAATGTTTAGACTTCAGAAAATTGCAAACCCAAACTTTTTTGCTGTTTAATATTTCACAGTAGAAACGATAATTTTGCACAAAGTCACAATCCATAACTTTAAAACATAACAAATAGTAAAGTGGAATTAGAAACACAAATTTATATTAATTGAAATACCATACTTAGTTCACCCAATATTTACATCACACTGAATTTAGGGAAATACCTATATAAACAACACTTGATGTGTGCTAAACACATGCTTAGGGAAAGGAAATACTTAAAACAACTTGCTGTGTTCTAAAAACATGCTTAGGGAATGGAAAAACTCAAAAACAACTTGCTGGGTCTGGTTGACAAATAAATCCTAGAAGGGAATAAACCATCATACCTTTTCTATCTTCACACGAACTGCCTTGGTTTTTTTTGGCTAAAACCTTCTTACCATCCACTTCTGTTGCTAGCCTTTTGCCTCTGGAAATATCAGACTCGTAGTGGGTGAGATTGTCTGTTGTCAGGTCTATGGGTTCCTGATTGTCTGGTCCTTCTTCTTGACTCTTCCCCATGACATTAGCAACTGCTTGTTGATCCCGTGTAGTTTTAGTAATTAGAACATTAGTATTTAGTACTCTAACATTGGAGAGTTATCATTGAAGTATATTAGATCTACTAATAACAATGTTTTTACGAATAAAATAAATTTCACTCACATTGACGTGTGAGGACGTAGCCTCTGAGCTAGAAGTCTGTGAACATTCCCCGTTGTGTTTAAAAGCATCACCATCCTTGGTTTTGACTTTAACAACACTAAAAGCGAGTTCTCCTTTCTTTGAGTTTTCACTTTGGACTTGCACTAAACACAAAACTTTCTTTTCAATCAAATTGAAAATCTCAATTGGGGTGTCATCATCCTCATGGTTTTTCTGTAACAGTCTCATGATTATGCTCAGTGACCAATTTTAGAACTTGTTTTTGTTAATCTTTTATACCATTTCATTCACAAATTGTGTTAGCGAATTAACAGAACTAACTAACTAGAGCGAGTGAATTATTAGAGAAGGGAATTGACTGGCTTATTGAATAGAGTGCAGTACATGGTATATTTATACCAATATTATTTAACCTAGCTTCTGAGTATTATTATTTAACACTCCCCCTTAATATCAGAAGCTAGTTTAACGAAAACAAAAACAGATTACAATTAGAACGTAACTATATTCAGTAAATCTCTAATTCTCCTGAAATTTTCAATCTTCAATGCCTTAGTCAAAATATCTGCAATCTGTTCTTCTGTACTGCAATGAACCAGACAAATCTTTCCTTGATTCACTTGTTCTCTTAAGAAATGAAACCTTGTCTCTATATGCTTGCTCCTGCCATGTGAAACCGGATTTCTGGCCAAACTTATGGCTGACTTGTTGTCAATGAACAATTCCAAAGCACTCATACTTTCTTGGTTAATCTCCTTGATCAAAGACATCAACCAAACTCCTTGACATGCTGCCTGACATGCTGCAATATACTCGGCCTCACAAGTAGATAATGCTACTACATCCTGTTTAGTTGAACACCAGGATATAGGAGTATTATTCAGAAAAAATACATAGCCCATTGTACTTCTTCTATCATCCTTATCTCCTCCCCAATCTGAATCGGTATAAGAAGTAAGATACAGCTTTTGTTCTTTACTCCCATTCGTCATTTCTCTAGGAAATAAAATTCCATAGCTAAGAGTTCCTTTTAGATATCTCAGAATTCGTTTAGCAGCAACTAAATGTGACTGTCTTGGATCAGCCATATATCTGCTTACTAAACCAACACCAAATGAAATTTCAGGTCTGCTTTGACACAAGAATCTCAAGCAACCTGTAATCTGTCTATATAGAGTTGCATCCACTCTAGATTCATGCTCAGATTTGTGAAGTTTAGTGTGAACTTCTACAGGAGTATCAACTGCTTTACAGTCCTGCATCCCAAACCTTTTAAGAACTTCAGACAAGTACTTCTTCTGATGCATTATCAATCCTGACTTAGTATTGTGGAATTCAATACCAAGAAAGAAAGATAATTCTCCAAGATCTGACATTTCAAATTCCCTTTTCAGTCTGCTTTTGAACTCATTCACTTTACCCAGATTACTACCAGTTATCAATAAGTCATCTACATACAAACATATCAGCAATATATCTGCACCAGAATTGTTGAGAATATACACTCCATGTTCAACTTGACATTTTCTGAATCCAACTTCTTCTAGGAAAGAA